CGGTTTGGTTAGTGGTAAAACAGTGTAGTGTAGGTTCATTTAGGACAAGTTAGGTTGAAAGTACTTTCTTTTTTCACGCAGAAGAGATATTTTCCTGCCACATATTACCTTATAAATAACCTTCTTCTGATAATCTTAAGGTTTTAAAGATTCGCTGGTCTAGCTAGACGCTTGTATCGCAACGTCATCTAAAGACCTTGAACCTTGACGACCGCGAAGAGCGCAGTATAACAGAGCAAGCACAAGTGGCTAGGTTCTTCCAAATAGTGCGGTTTCAGTACAGCCCTTGATTATATAACACTATAGTTGAATACTCAATGGTACAGCAGAGCAGTGGAATCGAAATCGAGAGTTTGATTATTTTTTCCTTGTCAGAAATTTCAGAATTGCATTGTCATCAATCAAAAAGTTGAATTATTGATCGCAGATTGATAGCAGATTTGGTATCGTTGGTCCACATAGTTTACAGAGTTAGAATGTTTTTAAAGATTTTTTCTCCATATTCAGCAGACAATGGTTTTTATACATGCACATCTGAATAGTTTTTTAATCCTTTTAGGTAATTTCGAATTTTCGGTAAATGCTGTTTTGTATTCCATTCTTTCGAATATTTTCCCAACTCGAATATTTAAGGTTTAAGGTTATGTGTGAGATGTTTTGGCGGATTCATGAAAACGCGTTTTCCACATATACGTATTAATAAACAATACGGATCATAACGGGTGCCAGGATGAAGCCAAAAATATGAAACAAATGAATATCCATAAGGATTTGGTGGCATGATACGCATGCGCCATGCGCTATTAGAGTATAGTCATCAAAGACATCATGCGTTTCGGTGGACAATGACGTTTACTAGCCTTTCAATCAAAGCAATATGTGTCTGATCGTTTCAAAACTTTTCCTTATGGATAGTCATTTGTCTTAAAAAATCGGCTTCATGTTTCGCTATGGAAACAGATAGAGATTATCCGTATTGATTATTAATACGTATATGGTTTTCCACGCCATATCACAGAGCGCATTAGCACCAGAGCAAGAACAAGTGGCACTGACTCGGTTCTTCCGTGGAGTGCGGTTCCAGCACAGAGCAGTGGAACAGAAACCGATAGTCGATGCTTGAGTCGATGCAACGTGGATGCAACCTTCTCTTCATCAGAAATGTCAAGAATGATTGTTTTATCAATCGAAAAGTTGAAATATTGAAAGTATATTTTCGGTTTGCTAAATGGATTCATCTACCTCTTGTGGTTTCTCTGTGAACACTGCCAGAAACAACCTCATGAATACATGAATGTTCATTTTCAATGATGTTCATATAGTGTTTTAGCATTGAAGCGTTGTTCACGAAGTTAGTATTTTTCATCATGACTGGAATCAACAATCAAATATGTTCAATACCTGCACATCTGAGAAATAGGAGAATTTTAGGTAATTTTCGATCTTTTGTAAACGCAGTTTCGTAACAATAAAGTCTACTTTAGTGTCTCAATCATCATTTCTTCACCATCGCTTGTATGCGAAGAATTTTTGATTCCGGAAATCACTGTAATAAACTTCAATGAGACATTCATAGTTATTCAAATTTCATTTTTCCACTCGAATATTCAAGGTTATGTGTATTTAAGTTTGTGTATTGCACCGTCGCACGGGCACGGTTCTGAAAACTCGAAGTTTGAGCGAGCATCGCGCAAGTTTGAGTGGAAATCATTTCTCGACAAAAGATCACTCTTGAAATTCTCAGTGGATCACGCGAATCGCGCTCGTGCCGAAAAAGTTCGAGCTAGTACAGTCGCATTAAAAAAAAGCGTGACAAGAACTGTCAGATGACCGACGCTGGAGGCAAAACATTGAAACACAACGTCACTTTTCTTATTTGTTTACAATAGGGTCCCTTGATGGAAATTGACGTTAAAGTCATCTTAACAGGGTACGGACAGATCCTCGTCTCCTCTCACTCTAAAGTGTTTGTGAAACAGTTATATAGTTCCATCCTTATTCAATTCTGGGGATAAACACTAGATTTTTGACAATCGTTGTTTTTTAGGTTATATTGGGGTCACTGGCGTATCATACGTAATTTCCATATAGAAATCCTGATTCAACTATACCAAGATATAGATGAATAACAATCCTCTAGTTTTAGAGTTTACTATTACGAGGTAGGGAACAGATAAATTGTACTGAAAGCTTAATATATGTCACCAAAAGAGACTGTTCTTAGACTGCATACCAGGGTTGACTGAATTGTATAAAACTTCGTCTGGGACGGAAAGTGGGCTGATAAAAAGTAATACGTGGAATGTGCAGGAAAATAAAGAATAGAATATACTTCACCCCTATGTTATACATATGATTTTTGCGTCTCCCTTAAATAAAAAGTAATTTTCGAATAATTTATTGATGAAAGTAACAAAGAAGTAGGTATACGCAGTATAACTTATATTCACACGTTATTTTCACTCTTGCATCCTACATATTTTCTATTCGTGGTAGAATAATATTTCTATAAACTAATGTCTTTCGTAATATTGAATCCGTCAGCTTGAATTTTCGAATTTTGACGAAACAATCATTATCTCCGACCCCGGAAATCCTCAGATACCAATTTCGATTTTCGGATAGAATCGGACCATAATTACAAAATTCGTTCGCCATATTGAATCCGCTATCTTGAATTTTCTAATTTTGACAAAAAATCATGAACTTTGACCACGAAAACCCTCAGATACCAATCTTAAATAGAATCAGATCATGATTAGAAATTTATTTCGCTATATATTGAATCCGTCATCTGGAATTTTCCAAGTTTGACGAAACAATCATTATCTCCAACCCCGGAAAACCCCAGAAACTTTCCGGTTTTGAATAGAATCGGATCATAATCACAAAACTCGTTTCCATTTATGATCTTCCTCAACAAGTAAATACCCTGTACATACCTCCTATTATTGAAATTTTGAATGATTATCTGTAGCGCCCATGGATCCATGGATGTGACGTGACAGCAATGTCAGGGATGCCAGTAGACAAAACTAAAGTCTCTAGATCAATAAAAAAGAATGCAGCTATGATCTGTCCGTACCCTGTTAAGATGACTTTAACGTCAATTTCCATCAAGAGACCCTAGTTTACAAGTGATCGAAATAGTTTTCCACAATTATTTTGGCATATGAATCGTATTTTTCCGCTATTCATCAATTCGCTCATGCCATCACATTGTGCTGTTGTAAAATGCACAAAAACTGCAGCGGAAGATGAAGGAATCCGGACCATATAGTTTTCATTTTTGAAATTTGGTTATTTCTCTGATTTCTCATCGGAATTCCTTCTGCAATAAGAGCTAATAGAAATATACCTGAAATTTCTAGAATAATGCAAGAAGATTGGATTCATGCAATCAATCGGGAGGACTGGTCTGACATGCTGACGATCGTGTGTGTTGTAGACATTTTCAATATATTAGCAGTATTAGCTTGTATTGCAGAAGTGGCAGAAGACAGAAGGAATTTTAATAAGGAATGACAACATTTCATAATGATAACTATGTGAGATTACTATTTACCTGAAAAATCATATTCCCTATAGTCTCTTGCTGCATTTTTTGTGCAATGTACAACAGCACAATGCGAAGGCATGCTTGAATTAATGAAACACGATTCGTATGCCAAAATATTGTGAAAAACTATTTCAACCTTTTGATTACTCTGTAAACAAATAAAAAAGTGAGGTTGTGTTTCAATATTTTGCCTCCAGGGTCGGTCATCGTGCACGCAACCTATTACAGAGAGAAATTATTATTATTATTATTATTATTATTACAAAAATGATGAGAGCAGGAGCCAGAGGCTCATAATAACGTCGAAAAATAGTAGGTTAGTTTAAACGGGCTATCGGGAATGATTGTTCCCCAAATGTTGACAGTAAAGTTGTCATAGGCTCTCGAAAACACAAAGCATTAAGCATTCCAGAATTACGTCATTTGACAGGTTGCTGAGGGGCAAACATTGTATTTTGTCAAGATTTGTCATATTATACCAGAATTAGTGGGATAGTTTCCCTTTGAATCCGAGTTGCAAACAGAAAGAATTCCATAATTTTGTTTGGTGAAACTGTTATCATATTGTGGATGTGGCAGGGATGGCCAGGGCTATGATCATCAAAGGTAACCTAACAAATAGTTTGTGTGCCCCTCAAGAAACCATGTCAAAATCACGTGTTCTAGAATGATTAATTGGCTGAGCCAGTTTTACACGACTAGAAATAGGATCCCGAAATCCTCTCTTTTTAATACTTGTACGCTATTTTATTAAATACGACTGTACGACGAGTGGAAAACACCATAAACTAGTACGACCTTATTCTAGTAGATACTCTGTCTGTAGACTGTACAAATGTACCAAATTATTGCCACAGGCTATGACGGCTAAATATCTAGACTGTCTGACGGGTGTTACCATATATATCTACTATTTCTATATATAGCGCATCGTCTATACGATATCTCAACAAGAATGGGACCAAAATGAGAGGTACTTTTTGAATCTATAAGGACGGTAAGTGAAGGATGGAAACAGCCATATTGGTTTGACAAGTTTCGTATTATTTCAGACAGACAGTCTAGATATTTAGGCGTCATTGCCATAGGTCCTCCAAACTTCTCAGCCAAGCCCCAAGCCTGACCTGTGTTGTAAACTTCGCGGCTCTGTCAAGGTTCTGTATCTGTAACGTATGCAACCGAAAATATTGTGTAGAGAACGTTGTTTTTGAGCTGCCCATTGACCTAGGATTATTCTGTGATTCGGTTTTTTTTTATTCGGAATGAGGAACAATCGGAATTGTACTAGATTAGAATTGCACATCCATTCCCCTGAAATCGCCTTATGTCAATGTCACTTGATGTCACTCAGTCACTCTTCTACTTGTTTTTTTTTATCAGCTGTTCTATAAAAGTCTGATAAAAGTCATAATAAAAATAAAATCATGGCGTGAGGCGTGTGTCATTCTGTCATTATCGAAAATTAGGAAAACAATAATGTAGAATAGTGAATGTTTTGAAATATAATTTTAAAATATACGGAGAACATACAAAAAGACTGTTTGGTATTCACAATTACAATAAATGTGTGTGGCAACAAGAGATATAATGGACTGTATGTTTGAAGCCTGCTTGGAAGCCACACTGGAGCCAGATGATATTCCAAAAACAATAGATCCAGTATGGATTCTTGGCAAGAAATACAATGCTCTGCAAGGTATGCTATTCTCGGAGATATTTTAATCACATCCGACTATGCATGTCCTATCTATTTCAGATATCAACAAAATAAGGCAAGATATCAATTCAAGAATTTGGATAACATACAGAAAAAATTTCGTCCCTATAGGAGGTAATGAAGGTCTAACATCAGACAAAGGATGGGGATGCATGTTGAGATGTGGGCAAATGGTCCTAGCACAAGCTTTGACATCACTACATTTAGGAAGAGAATGGTTGTGGGATCCACAAACTCGTGATTCTACATATTTGAAGATTCTCAACAAATTCCAGGAGAGGAGACAGGCACCTTATTCCATTCATCAAATTGCACTCATGGGAGCTTCATTAGGAAAATCTGTAGGGCAGTGGTTTGGCCCCAATACAGTTGCACAAGTTCTCAAGTAAAATATGATTATTTGTTTCTATTGCATAACATAACCAATAGAGCATTGTCAGTGACGTCATATGACGTAAAATTGTCGGCCATTGAACAGCTGATGGGGGGACAAGCATACACATTTTCCATAAGGGTACATGTAACTTTCTTGCACATTTACCACTAAAATACAATACCTGGAGCATTTATTTATTGACATGTTTGTTAATTCATTCATCATGAATCCTGTGAGAGAAGTGAATGAGTCCAAAGAAGAGTTCAAATTGGTTTATTTGTCAATTTTAAATTACTTGATTTACTTGAGTTCAGCTCGAATATACCTAATATACCTCATAATATACCTCAATAGATACTCATTTTGAAAGAAAATGTACACATTCTTCTCGTATAATATCTAGAAGTTGAACAAAATCACCAATGGGCCAGAAATAATAAAATCAAAATTCACACACAGCTTTGTTTGTCCCCCGATCAGCTGATAAAAACGACTAGTGCCCCATATTGTGACGTCAGCTGACATTGCTCTATTCAGATAGTTCTCTTCAATTGATTTCATGATTTTCAGAAAATTAGTCAAATATGATGAATGGAGTAGATTAGCTATACATGTAGCTCTAGATAATGCCATAGTTATCAATGAAATAAGTAAGTAATAGTTCTAAGTCAGGATGAACTAATATTCATAAAATTATTTTTGGGATAACCATATTATAGTCACATTTGAATAAGCTTAGTTTGCTAAGACACTGAGAGCTGATTCAAGTAGAAATCCAAATATTAGTTCATTTTGTGTTTGTTCAGATTTACATGTTGAATATACAGGGTGAAATTTAATTGATGCCTAAAAATATAGAAAATGGTTCCTTTGCTAAGTTCAAGAAGAAAAGTTCATATGAACATATTGTCATGTAGTAAATCCTATTCAATAATTTAAATACTCCTTTTATTTCTCTATGTTCCACAATATAACAACAACCTTCTCAAAGCCAAGCTAGTAAGTAAATTAAGTGTATGGAGTAAGTACCCTCAAGGGGTATGCATATTTTGAAAAAGTCATCATAGATGACAATATGCCCTAAACCTCTTAGCTTTTGACCTATAAGATGTTAACATTTTTAAGAAAAAAATTGTTTTCTTATCATAACTTCAATGCTGTTCTAGATATTTTCATGATATTTGACATGCATTTAAGCACCATGTGTAGTTTGTAGGTAAGATAATTATGTTTTTTTTGAATTTTTATTCAAGTAAAGTCAATTGATTGAATTAGTCAAAATGGTTTTTATTTTTTTACATGAAAATGGTGGTGCCGACGAAAAAAATGCAAATGGTCAAATTGTTGCAAAATGAATGAGTATTTCAAAAATGAATATATTTTTGGAAAAAGCAAGGGCATACTATATTTTTGTAGAAAAATCTCCAGTATCAATCAAACAACATTTGTTTATAGCAGGGAACATGGTGAATACATAAATATATTTGACAAAATAAAATTAATGACAGTAAAATAAGACTCACACTCAAGAAGAATCTTTTTTTTCTTCAAGTTCCTCAATTGACTCAGCTGTTAGGTGCCCAATAGAAAACTATAGTAGTTGTACAAGAAAACTATAGAAATGAGATGAGATGTCAATATTACAGGAGTAGATGTTTCTTGAATTCTTTTTTAAATTCTTCAATCCTATTAATCTGCTTCAAGTTGTTTGATAGTGAATTGTATTGTATCATTCCATTGTGATAGATGGATTTTTTACCAATATCTTATTCAATTTTCTTGACAGAAAAATGATCTGCTTGTCCAGTTGTATGGTTGTGTTGATTACTATTAATTTGGAAAATCAAATTTGAATGCTTTTGACAATGTTTAACTGAATGAATGAAGAATATTAATTTGAATTTATATAGTGAATCTATATCTAATAATAATCCATACAGACTCCACTGGTAGAAATATTTAAAAAACTTCTGGATCAAGAAATGCCTATTAGTGCTTAGTAGGTGCATGTCAAATTTCATGGAAACATGTTCATGAACATGTTCATATGAACTTCTCTTCTTAAGATGAGCTAAGGGACCATATCCAATATTTTCTGCCATCAATTAAACTACACCCTGAATACTAACTATGTTCCAATTGAAATAAGCATGTTGCCAACAATTTTGTAGACAAAACTTTCTGGACTGGATACTGTGGCAAGACATTTTCATGAATCATAATTGTGTTGAATCAAATACAAGGAAAACTGTTATCATTATCATCACAATGACCTAAATTCATTGATTTTCAGTCAAAAACCTCTAGTGACAGTCTGGGCAATACAAATTCACTAGTTTTGAAGGAATCAAATTCAAATTTATTTCAGTTATTGCACCAACATCTCTCAGCAGTAGGTATAAGATCATTAATGAATTGTTGAGTGTTATTATGATCAAAATTATAAAACAATAGTTAACTTTACAAAAGCTATACATATTATTAGGATATAATAAAATAGAGGGAGGGAGAGAATATACTTCAATATTAATTCAAATTCTTGTTGACAAAGTTTAAGAAATATCAAGGTACCTATGTCTATAGTTATTTATACACCAATGTAGTGAAAAATATCATTATTACCCAGGGACCAAGATTATATCCCCAGGCTTCAGCTGAGGAGTATAAGGTCCCATGGTAATATTCTTTACTACCAAGGTGTATATTAGTTTTTTTTCACTACTAGCAATACATTTCAATCATTTTAGTTCTATGAAACTGAAATATGAACCTATTGTCACTATGAAAGTATTTATTTTCAATTATAATTAAAATGTAGTAGCCATGACCAGGACAGCATAAGTTGTTATTGAAAAATATCTACTAAATTCGGGTGTCATTCCTGCAAATGTCACATAGGACAGCGAATTCAGGTTAATTATAACAGAGGTGGCTATGTCTTTATTGACTAGTGGTTCATAAAATGAGGAAAACTTCCTTGGTAGTAAAAACATACTTTATGCCTCGTAAAGGAGTAAAAATAATGGTAGGTTTTATAGCTAGTGGTGAAAAAAATAGTATATGTCAGTTTCATACCAGTTAGGGTATGTAAAATAAATGTCAAAAATAAAAAAGGAACCCCAATACACATTGAAAACCACTATTTATAGTGAACCAGAGGTGAAGAGACAGGAGAAGAGAAATTGAAAATTCATGAAATGTGGCAGCTTTGACCATTCCTGGAATATATTTCTCAATTCAACTTTTGACTTGTGTAATATTTGTGTAGTATTTCCGAGTATTTCTATCATTAGATTATTCAAATGACTATAGCCTCGACCATAGCTCTTCATTTTCATTTCACATATTTCCTCTTTATTTCCCACTGTTCTAATAATTATTGACATTTTTTCTCAATTCAAAATTATATGCTCAATTAATTGTTCGATTTTAGGAGAGTTATGTTTATCAACAACAAAACTAGATGGTACAAAAATGACAAATTCTGAATGGAAACCTTTACTTCTCATAGTGCCTTTACGACTTGGACTCACTGATATCAATCCCATTTATATAAGTGGTGTACAGGTGAGTTTCTTGTTCCATCATTTTATCTTTCAGTTTATTGATGGGGGATTTTCTAAAACTCTAATCAACGAATTAATGATTCAATAGTCCTCTACAAAGTACAAGTGCTCAACTGCAGGCGCGTATACAAGGGGGAATAATGGGAGTAATTACCCAGACGATCGAAAAAAATTCAGTGTTTCAATCAAAATCAATATTCACAAAATTAATCTTATTTCATTCCATGAATACCTATATAATATTCCATATCTATTTCTTCCTTAAAACTGAAAAATGACATATTGTTGCATGCAAGTTCATTCTACATTTTTACTATGCTGTGATCTTGTCATTATGAAAATGACAAAAGTTTGCCCTAAGTTTTCCAGCGACAAAACGGAAACAACATGACATGTTATGAATCAAATTGCAAAAAAACAGTTTTGTTAACCATGCCAGGCCTTGAAAATACTGAAAATACCCTCATTAGGTGTATTTTCTTCAATTGGTCAATACATGTTCCAATATACTCGGAAACTACAAGGGTACGAGAGATACAGATATTGTTAAATGGGAGAAAAGAGTGAAAGACCTACTGATATGGCTTTCTGTTTTTGAGTTTGAGTCAAGGATGACAGTGACATACTTTTACTTCAAGAAGATCTCAATAAGTTCATCACACTCTGTGAACTAAAGGACCTGTCATCAAATGGGACAAAATGTAAATATATATCATTCAGTCATAGCCCATTGAGACAGAGTACTGGGCGAATGAAACAAAATTGGAAAAGGTAGAAAAAAAAAGCATCTTGTAACTTTTGCTGGAAAATTAAGCTTCAATACCCACTTTTTGCATTATTTCAAATACTGTAAATGATATCCTGAGAAAATTAAGTTTTGTTTTAAAATATTCATACGAATTTAACTCTGAAATCACAATACTTTTATACAATGCCTTTGTAAGACCAAAATTAGAATATATGCTTCAGTCATTTGGAATCCACATACCATTGTCCACTCAGAAATGATAGAGAAGGTACAAAAAAGTTTATGAGAAGTTTTCATTACAGGAAATATCGAGTATCCACTTTGATGATTTCATACAAAACTCAAATATCATAATTTAATCAAAACACACTACAGCACTGGAGAAATATCGCTGTTTATATCAGACACAATAAAACTCCATGTACAGGGCTAGTTTTATTTATGTGAACCCCCCTTTATCTTTTTTGTTTCACACTCATTAAAAAAAATCAAAGCTGATTTTATACAATTCTTCATACAGATTTCACTCATATTGACAATGATGCAATATCTCTTCAAATAAACAGGGTATTGAGAAAAATATATTCTTTGATAGATTTGAATTCCTCAATTCATCCCGATTACAAATATATGATATAAGGGATTCATACCTATCAAAATATACAGTGCATTCCATTTAAAAAGTATATATATTTTCTGAATTCCCTGTATATTTGAAGAGATAATGCAACACTGTCATTATGATTGGAACCTATATGAAAAATAATTGTATAAAATCTTTATCAATTTTTGTTTGATGAGTGAAAAAAAAAAAGATTAAGAGGGGTTCACATTAATAAAACTAGCCCTGCTTATGCCTATGCCTATGCTTACGTAAGCAAAATCATATTTTTTATATAGATGTGTCGTCCTGCTCACCTATTGTAAGGTGCCAGAAAGCTGTAAATGATCATATCAACTAATGGATACAGACATTTTCAATCCTAGTAGTGGCAGAATAAAATGCACTGTTGATAATTATTAATCATTTATTTAATTGAATTTTGCACTTTTTTAAATGTTTAAAGTGTCCATGTTATTGGATTGTCTTGTGAATCTTTTTCGTTTGTTTTCCATTCAGGTAATTTCGGAAGTAATTTAAATCTTTCCATTGGTAATTTTAAGTGTGTACTGTATGTGATAAAACTATTATTCTGTAATTGGGCCAAAAGCCTGTTGTTTTAGCAGTATAAATCGAGGTATAAATAGATGATTTCTGATGAGCGATGAGTCTTCAAAACAGAAGGAGAACTCAGAAGTCTGATTCTTGAAGCATTTCAAAGTATACCTAACGCTAGAATTTCTGAATAATCTATACTATTCTATACTAATATTATAAAGAGGAAAGATTTGATTGTTTGTTTGTTTTTACAGTCGTATTCAATAAAAAAGCGTACAAGTATTAAACAGAGAGGGTTTCGGGATCCTAATTCTAGTTGTGTAAAACTGACTCAGCCATTGTCGTTCTAGATGACAACCTAGGTAGGTATTTAGTAGGCAGGAGCTATAATATTGTCTGTTCATTGAAAAGACAATTGAAGAAAATATGTAGTTCAGAGACATCTACGTGAACTAAGTAAACTAAGTTATTCATATTTTATTCCTAACCCATAACATTTTTCATGGTCCTGTCAAGTTTGTAAATAAAAATCTGTCATGTTGAAACCCGAAAATGAAACATTATCACGAAAGATATTATCAAGTATGAAAACCATCTACCTATACTTGAATGGAAGCAGGGAGATGTTGAGGCAATGCTGTATCAGGTTGACTTATGAATCAACTTGAATTTAAGTTGGAACTGTGGAAACTTCGGAAACTCATCAGTGCTTTTACACTTTTTCGACATGCAAGCCAAGCAGAAAGGTAGGGGCTGCTTATTTCCTTCTATTTTTTGATAAGTTACTATATAATTCATGGAATTCCGTTATTTGCAGTGAAAACATGTCTCTAGAGATGTAAACTATGTACACATCGGAATCACTATACTTGAAAATTTCAGGTACCTACCTACAGCAAAGAGTACCTACATGAATAGCTTTTCAGTTGAAAAACGAAAAACTATCGGTGATACAAACAAATTGATGTGGAAGAATCACATCAGGAATCATTATGTGAGTAATGTTCAGAAGAAATGTACCAGAAGGATGATGATGTTTGAGAACAGAATGGAAAATTTCCCATCTGAAATGAATATATAGAAGCAATAAGGTTAGACTCAATCTGTTTATTTCATCAATGTCTTATGGATATTCTGCTCCAAACACAAAATATCAAGATGCTGGGATATTTAAAATTTTTTTTATTGGATAATAACTTGTATATGTACGAATGACAATACAAATATATTTTTTAATGAATTGAATATAATAATGAAGAATTATTGCAACTTTTATTCTACTAATTTGTTCTCCTCTGATACCCTGTTTATTGTTGTACAGATGTATTGGCAGGTAAGTTTGAAAACACTATATATATTGTACCAAAGGTATATAGGTTGAATATATGTTTTGCTCACCAATGATTATTTTTTATAAAATCATCCTATCCACTAACTTCACTAAATATGGGAAGATGTGTCTATAATTGCCACCATAGGAATATTCAATACCAATATGTATAACTTTTTAATTTATATTATGTAATCATTTTGAATAAACTTCATTATTATTTATTATCATTCTATAATATCTGTTCAAATGCCCGCACTAGGTCGCCTACTAGGTTTTCATTTAGATCGACAATGACTCAGCCAACGCTTTGTGTTTTTGAGAACCTATGATAACTTTACTGTCAAATTTTGGTAAGCAATCATTCCCGATAGCCCGTTTTATGCAGAATAGAATGACGTTAATTTCTCTCTGTAATATACTTGTACGCTTTTTTTTCGAATGCGACTGTATGTATTGAATAGGCTCCGAAACTACTGGCTAGATTTGGCTGGAAATTGGTGGGGAGGTAGCTTAGAACCAGGAGAAGGTTATATAATACTTTTTATCCCAGTACCATTAGGAAATTCGAGATGGCGGATCTAATATATCGGACGAGTTTTGTAATTATGGTCCGATTCTATTCAAAATTAGTATCTGGGGATTTTCGGGATCGGAGATTATGATTCTTTCGTCAGAATTTAAAAATTCGGCCGGAATTTGAAAATTCAAGATGGCGGAACCAATATGGTGGAAGAGTTTTGTAATTATAATCCGATTCATTTCAAAATTGGTACCTAGGGGTTTTTCTGATCAAGGATTATGATTCCTTCGTCAAAATCAAGAAATTCAAGATGGCGGATCCAAAATGGCGGATTTTGTAACTAGGATCCGATTTTATTCAAATTTGTTATCTGGTGGTTCTCGGGGTCGGAGATTATGATTCTTTCGTCAAAATTTGGAAAGGGCGGGATTTGGAACTTCAAGACGGTGGAAACAATATACCGGACGAGTTTTGTAATTTTATACGGATCCTATTCAAAATTTGTAAGTGGGCGTTTTCGGGATCAAAAATTATGATTCCTTCTCAAAATTAGGTCCTTCAAGATGGTAGATCCAATATTGCGGACGAGTGTTGTAATTATGTTCCGATTCTATTCAAAATTTTGATGTGGGGTTTTTGGAGTCGGATATTACGGACGAGTATTGTAATTATGATCCGACCCTCTTTAAAATTTTTATCTGGGTGTTTTCGGGGTCGAAGATTATGATTCTTTTGTCAAAATTCGGAAAGGGCGGGATTTGGAACTTCAAGACGGTGGAACCAATATACCAGACGAGTTTTGTAATTATTATATAGCGATTCTATTCAAAATTTGTCAGTGTGCGATTTCGGGATAAAAAATTATGATTCCTTCGTCAAAATTAGGGACTTGAAGATGGAAGATCCAATATTGCCGGCGAATTTTGTAATTATGTTCCGATTCTATACAAAATTTTCATGTGGGGTTTTAGGAGTCGCATTTTATGATTCTTTCGTCTAAATTGGGAAATTCAAGTGAACTAAAGAGAAGTTGAAATAAATGGTAGTTTGAAAAACTAAAGAAACACGCTTTTATAGATAGCGAAAATAAAAAGAAGTAGAACATAACATAATAACAGTGTCTTGATGAATATTGAACTGAAAAAATATATTACAGAAATAATGTATATAGCAAAACAACGATTGCGAGGTCTGCTAGTGTTTTATATTCAACAGTACGAAGATGTTATGAGGGCTTAGAAAGCAATGGCAATCTTTTCATATTCACGTATTCCAAAATGCGTATTGATTTTGATGAAGCATTGTTGAATGTTCAATTTGATAAATGAAACCTTTTTTACAGAATTATGGAAAATTCTGGTTCCTATTCAAAAATTCGTTTGATGATGACCAAAATAAGCTCGAAACGCATGAAATCAATATGTAGCATATCGTAGAAATCAGAATGGATAAGGCTATTCGAATCTGATATCAAAATATCAGGGCTGTATCTGAAAAAATTAAGTTGATGATGGTTGCTCAAAAGCGAAACGTTGGATCAGGAAATCGATGATGCCAAATTGAATAGCATCAAAAGTTGCCATGAAGATGTTTTTTCAGTTTTATAATATCTTCATTACTAACGCCAGAAAAAAAATAAAATTGAAAATCCGGAAATTCAGTTTTTTGGAAATAACTCAAAAACGTAGTCATATCAGAGATTTTCGAGAGTTATTGTGATGGTCGTTCACTCGTGCAACTTTTCTCCCATTTAACCAAATCTGTACTGGTGCAACTTCTCTTCCATTTAACCAAACCTGTATCTCGTAGTTTCCGATATGCCCATGCTGGCCCTCCTTATCTTAGGCACAGTATGAGGGTGTTTATTTAATTAGTTTGCAGTTCTAAATTTCACGCACCTCAATTATTCTGGAGCAATCGCGTATACAGCTAGCTTTGTTCTACGAAGGGGGAGGTTCACAGAAAGCAAAAATGCGCCGCAGGCAAAAGTGTTGCCGTTCAAGGTCAAATGTCTCTGAATTGATCGTTAGGTTCAAATTCAGATTGTTCAACTCACCTGGAAAATGGAATTTCCGAAAGACAAGATATACTTATTGAATTATAAATTTCAAGTTCACTTCCATTAAAATAAAAATGCTTCAGTGTAATTGGGTAAGTATAGTGATTTGAGCAAAGAAAACTGTTTATTCGTGTACTCTTGTGATTTGAGGGAGCTTTTCAGCAGATATTCGTTCAATAAAGTATGTTTCACCTCTTGAAATACATTAGATTCACAAAATAAAAATGCCCCAATTTGAGGTTACGTTAGTTTGCATTTCATTCCCATTCAGTAGTAAAATAAATATTGCAAATTAAGTGGAGTAAATATGATATTCACAAAGTGGGTATTTGAGATGTATGAATTGTAGTCGATTTATCTACTTACATGTGTTAATAAAAGAGATAAAGACCACAATGCTGGATGTATCTGCGAATAATTGATCTACCTAGTAGGAAAAATTCAACATATGTGCTATGTTTTTGAGTGAGGATATAATTTTTTTCAAATTCTACTGTAACTTATCCTTTGGTTATATTTTGAAGCAGTAAATTTAAAAATCCTCGAAAGCGCCCTGAAACTGCGCTCGAAATACGCCCAGAATACTCCCAAAATGCCTGGATTACGCCCCAAGTGGCTTTATCCATTTTAAACCGTCTAATGCGACGATACTGTGGCACCACAGCGACCTGGGCGTGTTCCGGGCGTTTATCCGTTTGGGCGGATACTCAATTGCCCATCACTATTCGAATGTAATTCTGTTATGAATATAGAACATACATAAACAAGAATGAGAAATAAAAAATCAGGCATAAAAAAGATTGTGAACAAAGTCAGGTAATAATAATGAGGTCATTACTGAATTCATCATAATATTAGTCTGTTATATTGAATTGTTTGATACTGTCCCTACTCCTTTTTTATATTCATCAGGAGTATTTAATATTAAATTGTATTTTTTTTATTACAGAAATGTTTTCAATTTCGGCAAAGTTTAGGTGTTATTGGCGGAAAACCTAATGTCGCCTTGTATTTCATTGGTTGTGTGGGTAAAGAAGTAATCTATTTAGATCCTCATAATACTCAAAAAAGTGGATTTGTGGAGAATAAAGAAACTGAGGAGCAAATTGAGATGGACTTAACCTATCATTGTAAATATGCATCTAGAATCAATATACTCAAAATGGATCCTTCAGTAGCTGCGGTGAGAAAGTTATTTATATTACCAATTTATTTTGTGTTTTAGTTTCAATTGCTGCTACCTAGTAGCATCAAAAGTTCCTTAATGGATTTGATGCTTTCGTTTTTGTACATTTATGAGTTCATGGTACGGACATTCGACAAGCAGCGACAGACAGACATAATCATAAATGATTTCTAAGCAGGGAAACGAAATAAGAGGTGTTTTCGGAAACTTACTTGGGTTGATCGGATCCCTGACCTGAACGTTCGGTTACCTAAACCGAGTCACATACCTCTGTTCGGAAACTCGAATTTTGCTAACTCGATTTGCGACTCGAGTTGATTCTTCGTGACCCTACTGATAAGCAGGGTCGCCAGAGTCGTGAAGGACACCATTACCAATTTATACGAAATGAGTAGAGGGGCTATGTATGTTCTGGGCCAAGCCAATCAGAGACCAGCCTCTAGTTGGAGTGTCTCGGAAGTGTCACAGAACATGTGTGACGTTTCTGTGATGATTCCGTGGCATTTCCATGACATTTCCGTGTTCCGTGACGTTTCCGTGACACTTCCATGTTCCGTGACGTTTCCGTGATACTTCCGTGACACTCCAACTAGATGCTGGTCTCTGATTGGCTTGGTCCAGAACATACATAGCCCCTCTACTGAAATGTATGAATGATGTCAATCGAAAAACGCGGGTGTTTACCACTTGACAACAATGAAGTTTGCATGTTGGTAAAAATGTTGATCGGTGGGTGATATGAATTTTCTTTTCAATCTTCATAATTTGATTTAGTGTTGCACAGATAAGAGAATTATTTGGGTAGATGTGAAGTTTGTGGTTTTATGAGCCACGAAAGTAATGTGCGACACATGAAACAAGTTCACCAATGTTCAGGTAAATATAAATATTTGTTCAAAGAAAATAGTTATTCATTTCGAAAACTAGACAGAAAAGTAGTGAATTGACTGCCGTGGCTGATAGTTTATAGCCGAGCATAGCGAGGATAGGAATTCAGCCAAGACAGTCAATCTACATTTTGCTGCCGTGTGAAACATAATCTTTTCTCCAAATGTTATAAAACCAATTTTGTGTAATTTCTTCATTGAAAACTCCATCATTTTGTGTTCACCCAATTTCAGTGTCAATTTCGATTACTCATTTCATTCAAATTACTTGGAACGTTGCATAGCAACAAACTTTTTCTGCCTTGGCAGAGGAAGTACACCTTTCCTGTCTGTTAAGTGTCAGAGAAAAGCCACTTTCTATACCGCTTGGAGAAAAAATATTTTATATCGAAAGTAAGCGCTTGCTCTCCTATTTAAAGACACATATTTGTCAATTTACTCCCAACGGAGAAAAAAAACTCACGTGGGAGGTAAAATAATTTGGCTTTAGAGGTAGAGATATACGTATAAGATCTGTGCTATCCAATAACCTAATTAGTGTCTCCATCACTATTATAAAACAAATAACAATTTCATTTTTGAACTACAGTGATCTCATACACTTCCTCATATTCCAAACTTACTCAATCGAAACTTTAAATAAAATGCAATTACACAATGAACAAATTCAGTGTGACAGAAGTGTCAATCTGTCAAACTGATTTTCGTTCAGATTCAAATAATGTCTGTGACTTTAGATCATGTAACACATTGATTTGGATCGATACTCGCTAGACTAGGCTAGGTAGACCGCTTGAAGCACAATTTTAAGAACGACGCTCTCAAATATATATGTTCGTGTATAAAATCATATATATTATATATCTTAGGAGCAAAGGTTCATTTCAAGATTTCAAGATTTAAGTGATCTTCATTCGAATAATTCAAACGAGCTGGCATGATTGATTACGATGACATTTCCGTGGCAGCTGATTGTTTCCAACGCAACTGCGGACGCCATGGCCAACTAAGAATAAGTAAACTAATATTTCGAAAACTGTTGACTGTAGGCATAGATAACCTCATTCAAAGTTAGCTTCATTTTCGATGCCGAATCGAATGAGAATATAAAATTGGGGGGTTTCCATTTGAAAAAATTGACTTACAATAATACAATTCAACCGGATCTATATCATTTTCTGGTGAACGCCCTGTATAACTGTAATCGAATTTACATCGAAACTCTACTGAACTGGGTCCACTCCTACGAATAAATCGATATACAATCGAAAATTAATGATCATGTCCAGAAATAAAAAACAATATTTTTCGGTCAACAAACGCGATTTTCAACTTGAAATTTGAAATATTTAGAAAACGTTAAGACTTGGGTATAGGACATTATACACGGTACAACCGGAAGTGCCACAATCTTCAAAATATTTTAGCCGGATAGCTCTTATCAACTATAGTGAACTCCCTGATTTTCAAATTCGGCCCACCTATGGTTTTCTATATATTGATCGATGCAGTTCCCAGAGGGACACTCTGTATATACGCGTCGGGCATCAAACTTAGCACGGGGATACCTCTGCTCCCTTGATATATTAATAGATATTATTCTGTGTACCTAACTTGACTCTTTCGTAAACTTGGAACACGAGTAGGTGATCCGAGTTTTTTGTGACGTGATCTCTCTGGATCGTGTTAACAACCCAGAGTATGTTTCCGAAAATACATAAGGACATGGATGTGTTTGATTGTGACACTCAATGTGTCTGGCATAATTTTTATTGAAAAGCAAACATAATCGGCTACCAATCCACAAAAATTCAGCGCTCTATTAATCCTATGTTGCATTGATCTTTTTTACCAAAGAAGGGAAGATTCGAATTTCCCTGTTAACCTGACGAGTACGCACTGATGATGACTTAACAGTCGAAAGCGCTCTGCTACGAATATTTAGAATACATTATCTTGCACGAAATACAAATCTTCCCTTCTTCGGTATATATTCACGTGCACACAGCCCAGCAACCCTCACTCTTGATCTTTTTTAACCATTAACGGGCATACCACTGCCGCCTCCACCACTGAAAACCTGCCAGACATCCCGATCAATTTATAATGATGTTAAGGCAGTACAATTAGTTAGGAGATATCGATCTATCAATCAGACAATGGAATATGTTGTCAGCTCTTAGTCTAGAAGATGTTCGAACAATTTTGCTCTCACATATGACGGACAGTTTTCATAGAGACGAGTTGAATGTTTTTGGAGCCGTATCAATTCACCATGGGTAGGATATGCATCAAAAAACAACTTTTTCGGTTGTCATGCATATTTGTTTTGAATAATAAAATGCATTTGTATGTATATATAAATGCATGGAATGCACATGATTTTATCCAAGCCATGAAAAATTCGTGTCTAGAAATAGTATATTTTCTTTTTGACAACTGAGGTTTTTACAATTTTCCGGCACACAATCAGATTCGAACCAATTTTTTCAACTATCATTAGTTGAAAATCCCACATGATATTTGTATGAATTTGACTGTATGTAAGTTCAGGAATTAGGAATTAATTTTAGTAAAGAATTATGGTGCATATGAATCTGCTTCGAATTTTTCATAATTTTTTACTCATTTCTAGTGTTTTTTCTGTAAAACAGAAGTTGATTTCAACGACTTCTGCCAGAGAGTGAAAACCGATTTAATAGATCCAGAAAAAGAGCCAATGTTCGAAGTTTGTTATAATAAACCTAAAGAATGGTCACCAACCTTGGAAAATGCAATTGAGGCTGGAACTACATCATTTTCAGGTGAGTAAACCCGACCAATCTCAGTTTTCATTTCTTATTTATTTTGTCAGTGATTTCTGTCAATTTATTAATTCCAAATTTGAAATTTCTCAATTAATCTTCAAAACTTTTCAGATATTAAAATATCCTCCTTTTCATTCTGAGTTTTGGACAACCTGATTTATGACAACTTATTTATCACAGTTTCTGAGATATGTCAAGTTTTCTGAAAATAATTACCGCCGAAAATGTTTGTATATCGCAAACCGTTCGAAATGAGAGCATTAAATTTGTGGAACAGTTAGCTGGAAGTCCAGGCTAACTGCTCATTTTGTATCATATGGGCGCAAGTGATTTTCAAATGTCGCATTGAAAAATTGCCGCCTATATCTAACTCAAACGTCCGATGGTTTCATCGATAGAAAATGGTGGAACTTTGCATAGAGTGAATGTGATGACCCAAAAAAATAACAGTTTTTACCCCGAATATACATTTATTTTTATTGAGTGATATATCCTCCTTTTCAATCCTTTTTAGAACTTCTCTGAGAATTTGATCATGTTTTTCCTTAGTTTCCGCATACTAAAACATCATCTACATTCATTATAACACCGTTGACATCTGCTAAGATTTTTGAAAATTTACTACTGAAATATTCAGGAGCACATGATATACCGAATGGTAGTCTTTTTCTTAATCCGTATCTGGTAAAACCCGGAATTAGTATCTTTTTTTGGAAAAAACTGTGATTTCAGACTACCACTATAGGTGACACCCAAGTGGTTGGTTCTTCCACATGCTCAATAATTTCCAATTCCCTAAGTCTGTTTAATTCGTTTTTCAATTTACCCATCAATGGTAAAGAACTACTCTAGGAGCAGCCTGAGCAAAAGGTACTGCTTCAGGTTTTAATTCAGTTTCAATTTCTTCACCAAATGTCCCAATTTTCTCATAAAGCATAGGAAATTCCTCAAAGACGTTTATTTCCTTCTGAGTACTATTAATTTCATCAACAGTTTGAGTAAACTTCACAATCTTAAATCTCACAATACCCGGTCTACCTAGAATAGATTTTTTCAAATTGTTTAGAACATAAACATCAAATTCATCATCTTCCCTACCAGATTCAATGGTTTACCATCAGGGCCTGATATCAATTCTGTACAAGCTGTTATCTTATTTTTACAATCAAATTCAATATTTTCAGGCACACAAATGACATCAGCTCCAGAATCGATTAAAAATTCTTCTCGGTCATTCATTCAGACCATCTATTTTTAGAGAACAAAGCCACTGCGAATTCTCATCATTTGCATTGTACCAGGTGATTCAATAAGGGTAACCGAGAAGCTGTATCTCAGGAACTAATGATTTGCTAACAAAAGAGATGGTTCGAGAAAGGAAGGTTTGGTGAATAAAATAAAGATCCATACATACCATTCTGATTCTTACCGCCCTCGATAGGAGGCGTGTTTAATAAACTATTAGTTCCTGAGATACTGTACCTCGTCACCGTTATTGAATCACCTGGTACATTGGGCACAAAGAAAGACTATTTACCTCATTACAAAATATCGAACCTATAAAATGAGTGTCATCATTTTCTTCATTACATACCTCAGTGTCATAATCAATACTACCAACAAATTTAGATTTACAAGCAATTCTCCAATGGCCAATTTCTTACATCTTGAGCATGTTGATTTTCTTGCTGAACACTTGTCCCTTGGATGAGTCTCCTTAGTACAGAATATACATTTGGATACATTACTGCTGCTGCTGGCTTCCCTTCTTTGGTTAATATTTGTTGCCCGTGCACTCGCCTTTCCAGCATTATTTCGTGACTGCCCCGCTAGCCACTGCCCGGATCTCTAGACCTTGCCTTAGTGCATTTTGTTGATTTCGCATTTCAGCCTGCCTCGCTGCTGAAACAACCTCTGGTAATGTAAGATTAGGTTGAAGCTGCAACCTTTCACTAGTTTCATCATCTATCATGCCAACTACAATCCTGTCACGAATGAGCACATCTTTCAAGTGTTGAACTTCACAATACTCTGGCAGAGTATGTATTGCTGTGATGAAGGAATCTATAGATTAACCTGGTTTTTGTACCCTGGAGTTGAACTTGTATCTCGAATATTATTAGACTAGGTATGAAATATCTGTCAAAAGCATCTAGAGCCCCTTGATATGTGGTTGGTGCCTGGGCAAACTGTACTATAATTTGTTCATTCTTTTCACCCGGACATAGAGTAGAATATTTATCATCTCTTCCTCATTTGTGTGTAACATACTAATCTCCCTGGCAAAAACTTCACAGCATTCCCTTCCCACTGTTCTCTGCTCGGAATTGTGAGGGAGAACCTCTTATTCCATCGCAGCCTGTCTTGTGCGTATTTTACTCTGAGAGTGGAGATAATGACCTCCTTTTCCACCCTTGTAGCGATTGCCACATGTCCTCCTATCAGTGCCCCTACTTTCACCCAGAATCCTGAGTCCCGCATCCTCAGGTGAGCTGCCATTGCTTCTTTCTTAATCCAGATCGGTAGTAGTGGCAACCCTAATTGTAACACCTTGGATTATCAGGGAAGAGTACCGCCAGACAAAGTCGAATGCCCGTATCGTCTGATACCAATGCAATAAATTCCGGCGTTCCACAAACATCAATTTTGGCACCAACATTGTTTCTACTACATATCAACGATCTATTGGTAGCAACTACTTGCCCTATCCACAGCTTTGCAGATGATACAACCTGGGGAACCAACAACCTTGTTGAATTCAACGCCAGCAAAACTCAAACTGTATTTTTTCTAGGAAGGCGGAACTCAGTATGCCTGATATAACAATGTCTGGCACCACCATTCCCACCAAGACCACTATATCTATGCTGGGTATCACCATCAGCAATACTTCCTCATGAGAAAATCATGTCCGATCCATCGCAAAAGCTGTTTTACAAAAACTCGGATTCTCGTTCCATGCGAAAATATACTCTACACCTCAACAGCTTCTCATGATCTAGAAAGCACAGATACGGAAAGTTTCAGAATATTGTTCTCATGTATGGGGTTCAGCACCCAAACAAACGATGATGCTCTTAGATTCCATCCAGAGAAGAGCCGTTCGCCGTTCTTTGACCCCATTAGAACACCGTAGAGAACTCGGCGACCTTTCACTTTTCTATAGATACTACACTGTAAATGTTTCTCAGAAATCTATGCTATAATTCCATCACTAGCAATAACAGTCAGACGAACTCGACAGGCCCTTGAAAAATGCCGAACAACACTCTACCAAAACTCGTTCGTCTATAGAACGGTGAAGCTTTGCAATTCTTTGCCAATAGAAGTATTCCCAAGCACTGACAACCTCCAAAAGTTCAAAAAAAAATTCAACACCTACCTTCTCTCCCTATCCTCCCTAGACGTACGATGTTCTTCGAACATTATAGGAATTTCCTTTCGTGCGCTCCAAGAGTTGAAAAAATATCAGTATTGCATAACGAATAAAAATATCAATGAAACAATGTATTTTTTGACATGAAAATGTACTTGATCTCCAAAGTTAATTGACCATGGAAAAGTCCAAATGCCTCAAATTTCAAATAACCCATTGAATTTATTTTTCAAATATGTCAGTATAGACCAGTGCTGAAGCCTTTGAAAACGGTAAAATGTGAAGAAAAATCATAGTAGGATGAAACCCATTGAAAAAGAAAGAGAATATAATGAAGATGAAAGGGAAAATAAATTACGGGCGATCTGAGGTCGGGAAGTTTTAGGGGGTGAGTTTTCAAGGGTAAAAAACGCTTTATCTTGATTTCCAGCAAAACAACGATCCCTATGGAAAAAAGTTGAGAAGCAAAGTTGTAGGTAATAAAGAGACCTACAACTTTTGTGATTACACTTTTTTCACATAACCTCAGAATTTATGTGAAAAATCCAAATAATCAAGTTTTTTAATCCCACCTTGATGTTGTGTGTTGATCCACCCCTGTATAAGGGAGATGTTGTCAGATTATATACCGAGCGGCTGGTATGTTTATACAGGGTGTAGAATCTACAGCAGATATTAAATTGTGTGGGTTCGGACTATGATGGTGGCAGAATGCAGGAGAAAAACAAATATTTAGGTAATAAACTATAATCAAATAAATAGACTACATTCATGATCAGAATCCTAACAAATTCAAATATTCAGAAAACTCAAACTTCTGATGTCTATTCACTTATATCTCAAAGTTAAGAAAATATCTAAAAACTCAAATAATCACTCTATAAATTCATAAAATCAAAAATATTCAATATACAATCAATAATCATGAACCAGTATTTATTCACCCTAGGTTTTCCTACAATGAAAACTCTCAACTCAACGTTAATATTCTTTAAAACAACAAATAAACTTCCCTTTATAAACCTCTTGGAAGAATACACTCAGTTAAACTATCTATTTCAAAACTCAACCCTACTTCTACTCTAAGCCCATATAGGTACTAATATCTAAGACTTCTCTAATCATCCCTTATTTCGATTCCTCTCATCAAGTTAGTTTGCAAAACCCTTATACGTCTAATTCATTGAACAAAATCCTAACCCTTGACACTAATAGGTTGACTGACTAGTTTCTTTAAAATGTCCATTATATTATCGTTAGAAAGTTATGTTGAATTTCAAAAGCACTTTCAGTTCTATAGTCTGTTAAATGTAACCACAAAGACATACCAACTTGCTTGGGAGTCGAAAGAATTGCCATCATCTCTTTCTCACTTGCACTGATTCTTATAACCACTATAGATAGGTACTTCTATGCACTTCGCGATCTATTCTGATTCTATAGGAGCTACATCTTTACTAGTTGACGTCTCGAGAGTTAATGATCAATTCAATTTTCATTTTTTACAAGTGTTTTTATAGGCGAAAACAACAAAGCAATTTTTACGTCATCCTTGTTATTTGGTTTTAGTTTACTCATGGAAGGGATTTCATAGATTCATATGGCAATAACAATAAATCAA